ATACGAAATTTGTTTCAAAAGAAGGATACTGGAAATAGATTCCCATCACATTTCTTGAGACACCCGATATAGCTAGTGAGTGACAGCACAATGAAAGATGCTTTATTGAGGCAAAGCTAGATACAAGCACTCTTATCTTACGAGCAAAAAATACTGAATGTCCAAAACCTTGACCCCCTATTAGAATAATAATTTATATTTCGTATAAACTGGTGTTTACAAGAAATATATGCCATCTTTACAGGCACGATCAGTTACGTAATAAATTACAGTCCTGAAGTATCATAGATCAATACTTTTTAAAAAGTTTACATTGTTCGATTATTGTACGGGCAATCAGAACACGTTCTTATAAATGTTAAATTGTAAACCCTTCACGAAGTTCACCATCATATTTGATCGGCAACCCAAACTTCGTCTCATTTCATGCTGATGATTATGGTAAACCAGTGGACAGCATATATTTGGGTAGGTGCTATGCCGCTACTTGATTAAAAGCTATTTCGGGAAGAGGAAAACGTCCTGGGAAACTGCATAATAGCATAAAACACATCTAGAGATCATGCGTCATTGAAAATACATTCACAGGATATATACAAGAAGACTCCTTGGAATGATAGTATACATTCACAGTGTTTAATGTCAACCATATGGGTTTTAGCATGGAAAGTATTAAGTTTTCGATGAAAGCATAGCTCTGCTCAAAAATTGGTGTTGTGACTTTTTCATCAAAGCAACCAGAATTTAAGGAGGCGACGAATATGAACAAAGAGTGAGCTTTAATAAAGGCCTAGGTAGTTAGAATCAAACGGATTATAATAGTGAGTAAATAAAAAGATTATCATGAGGTAGACAAGTGGTATTTCAGTGAGAAGTGAATTCAAAGATCTGGAAAATTAGAACCCGTAGGGAAAGCTGACCTGTAATATGTCTTACGAATTTCTGTAAGGCCCATGGAGAAGCATGTTGACGACAAGCTGAACAGTCTTGTAGATAGTAGGAGCAGAAAAAGTTTTTATGATTTAGATCTGTAAAACACGCATGGTTTTTTGTTAAGGATCTAGACTTATGTATAATTCTCGAGCTATCAAAAATGCTTGTTACTGTCTTGAACAGTATGCACACATCTCACATCGAATACTGGAGATAAGACATCTCACAGAAGGGCATGTTAACCACGAAAACCAAGCCGGGAGGACAAAAGCCAGCCTTCACGGTGAAGGCCTCCAATAAATCGCAGGTCACTACTTTAGGGAGGAAAACCCTGGCACTTCGGCAGATGGGTTTCCCTTTTTCCTGGCTTAGGCCTAGCAGTCTTCAGCCTAGACTTCATAGAAAGTTATGACCTTCTAGTAAATACCACAATGTGACGAATAGAGGACGACAACTAGTACTCTTTACCTAAAGCATCCTAAACCATTTCACCGCGTCGACTATTTGCTGCTACAAAATGAGAATATACTATTATTTATTTATTTATTTACTTAAGCAGACATTTGACCAAGCCCTTCGTCCCTGAATTTATGAGTAGAGCCATGTTCAGTGATTTCTCCAAAGTTACGGCACTCTGGAGCGTAGTCTTAGGCGAAAAAATCTCCGCAAGATATTTTTGGCTGAAGAGGAGGAGACGGTAATTAACTTCATCAGACACATTGGTAGAATCAAAGGACCACTGCCAATTTTTTCATCTCTACTATTTATCGTGTGGTCGAGGAATGCTGGAAGTCAGGAAATGAAAGGCGTTTTTTGTAACGCAATAATTGAGGTATGACGTGGGGGATTATAGGCATATTCTATCGCCTTTTCCATATATCACGAGTAGATTATTGGCTTTCCAGTAAGAGATTTGGAGATTCTACTGCTGTATCAGACGTCTTGCACTTTTGTGCCATCGTTTCTTCTGCAGTCTGACTAATTTTGCACACAAGCCTCAAACCTTGTGGGGGCACTACACATCTTTGCCCCTACATCCGCTTTCAGTGATAGAAGACATGTTGATTGACTAGCATCCCGAAATCTTATTAATTAGGCCTGGCTAGTTAGCTAGGCGAAGTTATCATGATTATATGTAACCATATAATTACTTTCGTAACAACAGAAGGCAAGATACGGAAGCCAAAGTATATTTTTCATTAATTAAACAACCGTCTATATATCTTCAGTTTATATTCGCTAAACAATCACTGAGGGAAAGTATTCTGTCTCTGACATCAAATAGAATGTTCAAATAGATATACTGAATTCTTTTGCTAATGTCGAAGTGAACTGTGGTAACATGTGAGCATAACATTCCGCTGGCACACATTGTCTGTATCACACCACTACACTTTGATGCCTTAATTTTTGACTGAGTTCTTTGTAACTGCGTAGACTCATGAGTAAACAGAACCCCTAAGCCATGCAGGAGTTCATGATTTTCTCTGTGACATTCCTCATCAGTTTGTGGCTTCCAGGGGGGAAATGTCGAAGTCCCTTATTGTTTAATTCTATCCACAGCCAATTTTTAAGTCTGCTGATTGGGGAAAACAAGTAAACAAAGTAAGTAATAGCGGGTACGCAATCAGTGAACTCCATTATCTGAAAACCAAGAAATATGATATACTGGTGTATACACGTAGGGTAGGGAATCGAAACGCAGAAAGACCTGGGATCTATTTGTGCATACTCCTGTTGTTTCTCCACACTGTCGCTTGGAAGCTAACAAAAAGAAATGTTTTAGGTATTTTTATAAGAATAAGTGGAGATCTGGGTTACTGCATGTTTAGAAAAGAATACAAAGAAAGGAGGTCTCAACACTCTGATCTAAGTGAATTGAATCAAACATTTTGCTACAGTCCGATCGCGGAACTCTGTTCTTCAACAGGACACATGAGCGCATTATATGAAAAAGCTGATAGAATTCCTTGACTAGTTTTCAGTTAGAATTTTCGGGCCGCAATTTTCCATCTGTAGGGTGACTGATATGAAATATTATCCAGAAGCTGTTGTTTGGGGAGTAGATATTTGCGGTAATTACTGTCAGCACTTCTGTTTAACATTTTCCCGGGGTATTCAAACGCATAGGATTAAAAAGTGAATGGACATAAATGTATGTGTTAGAATTACTCAGTAGTTTTTCTGAATAAAGTTATCCAACACACTCAAGATTATTGGCCGTAAAATGAATTTCAAGGGCATTTTCACCCAAGCCAGTTAGCCGGGTCGGATTTCCGTCTGCCAACCGTCCGTTCATACACCACTGAACTTATATCTTATAATGTCAATGGAATATTGTTATGTAGAATCTTTGGAAATTTCACAGATGAACATATTTGGTTGGCATAATTTTCTATTTCCAGTTCTCTTGTTGGTGGGCATTTTGTTTCTTGGTTTAAATGCTTAATTAATCTGGAGAAATCTAGAGAAAAACAACGTACACTAGCAATTCTGGGGAAAAATCCACAACTAGAGTTGATATAAGCAGGGCTTTCGCAGGACTCGTAAGATCCCGAGAATTTTGAACTCTGTCTGGATTTGAGGAGTCTTCAACAGTTTCCCAAATGAGCATAGCGAAGATGTCTATTGTCAGACGATTAACGCCCACCGCGTTTTGATGGAATGTAAACTAAACAAGGATGAACTGCATTCGAAGTAGCTACATGCGCTGCTTGTATGTACCTTGTAAATAAAGGGGAGTAGAAAACAATCACAAACGTCTTAAAGGGTAGGTGTTATCTGTCGTTGTTAGGGCTTAATATATGAGGTCTATACACACTGGTTGCCAATGGGTGATACGTATCCGTTTCCAGTGCAACAAAATCATCTTTCTATCTGTATATGGGATTCATATTGCAAATGTGTAATATGGAAATTAATCTGCTGTCCAGTTGTTATCTAGTGAACTTGGTTTTGTGAATCCAGAGAAATCAGTTACCTATTTAGACAACTGAAACAATAAAATATGAAGAACATACGTTTGAAATCTGAACAGTTACAGAAAAAGTTAAGGTATAATAGTTTAATACTTAAAATATAACATACAAACCTGTTGTGCTCATTACTTCAACAATCACACACTATACAGCCTAGGCATTCAGTCGCTATACCTCATCTATGTTGCTTAATTTACACAGACACTCTAGGAAAAATTCATCTTCATCACCGGTGATCAGAAACATTCAGACATCTTCATTATGCATGCAGTCCCAGTGAAAATGGTGTGACAGACAGTGGATTCACAAGGATAAAGCTTATTAGTTTAAGCCCTCTGACTGAATACAATTCATGCATATATTAATGCAATATATTAAATTAGCGTATTAGGCAGAATGATATGGCAAATAAGGCGAGGAGTGACCTTTCCAAATTCAGTGTACCCACAACAATCTTGAGAATCACACATATTTGTCAGCTAAGCAATCAGCCAGGAAGGAAACGGAACGATATTATTAACATTAAGAGTTTTTTATGCAGTGAATCCACGTAATCGGAATTACGTCACACTGATCAGTGAAATAAGATTTCAAATTCACTTACAAATAATCTTTTCACACACAATAATTTCTGTCTCTGCACACAATGAAGCAGCGCATTTATAGCATGAATTCTGTCCTCATGGAGGTTCTGTTAGCTGATTTCCATGCACTGACAGTTGCCACCTGTTAAAACATTTTCTTCTCTGAAGTAAAATAGGCTGCATGGACGTTCTGAGATATGTGAAGAATTCTTCATAAGATGATTCTGTCCCAAGAAAAACAGCTTTTAAATAAAGAAGACTATTCAAGTAGATGACATTGCACTCCAATTAATCAATCATGCCTCTTACAGCAGCGCTAAAGTGCAGTTCACCTGAGACACAAACACATGTGACCATCATACAACTGGTGTAACTCAGAAGGGTGTAACAACAAGACATCTAGGCAAATCAGAGTTTTCATAAATCCAGGCAACGTATTATACAATCGCGGTGAAAAGTATGCACAACAAAACATTGATAAATTGGAATTTCGACCTTCATTTCAAATAAGTCTAACCGTTTTTCTTTCTTTCCGATCTATTGGCTGGTGAGTGGCGCCCAACTAGAAAAGTCAAGGTTAGTTGGGAATTAGTATTCATTTGTTTTGGTGCCATTGCATCATTTCGTTCACTTTTCGTAAGTTTATCACTACTGGTGCATTAGCAGGACGATGGAAACTTAAGATTTTGAGCACGAGTTATTGAATATATTTATTTATACATATCTTTCGTTCACCTTGGTGCATAAACGTCCTGTGTATCGTATGCATACAGTATGCTAGAGGATTTATATCAATTTAACCATGGTTAACTTTTAAGAATATAAAGACAAATGAAGTTCTGAGACACTAAACAGAGAAAGCAGTATTAATAATGGTATTATTAATGGTATCCATAGAACCACAATGAGAGAATAAACAACAACATTATGATGTGACCTCAGGTCACGATATTTCGAAATGGATTAACATCCAGAGATTATAGCTGAACACAATCCCTTTCAAGAACATCCAGCATCGTCGTTCAAATAGTGATTTTCTTCGGATTTGTTAGTATACTAAACCAGTATACAAAACCAGTCGTACAAATCTGGTAAAACGGGTGAATAGTGAGCATGACCTAAGGTGAAAATAGGCTAATTTTAGGTATTTGACAAAATTTCAACGTAACTTAACCACTGTTACCATTTGCTCCAAATCTGGCTTTTCCGGAGGATTGTTATTTTAGGGTAGGTTGAATGACAGGATCTGACTTTAGATAATCTCCGAACACTGGTGGACAATCATCTTTTTAACAATTTTCCGACTTTTATTGCTTCCTAATATTGATTAGTGGCCCGAGGTCAGTGGCAAGGTCCTTGCAGTTGTCTGCTTTGGTTTATCTCTTGCAAATAACAAAGTTATTAATTCGGGAGAATGCATTTGCATTTCTCAAAGGTGGACAAAAACTAAAGGAAATACAGTCTCTAGTCGGTCGTCTTCCTGCTTGCTTTTATTAATACCAAGGTTTATTCACTAGCGTTCTTAAGGAGTTTCATAAACACCACTCATTGCATCAACTCATGCATATGCTACCGTATATATACTCACAGCTAGTCACAATCTCAACCTCTCTATGCTAGTTTTATTTCCTTTGGCCGTTTTTAGAGGTTAAATGCAGGGGGAGGTTATTTTATATCTTGGGTGCTTTCTGTGAAAGACCACTATATCTCTATGGATTTTAAACTCGTGTTTCTTTTCTACGATATGCATAAATATCATTGTTTTGGGAAAAGCTAAGTAACTAAAATTGTGTCAAGCATCTTGTATTATTTACATCCTTACCAGAAGTATTGTTTTGGCTTTTATTCTGGAATGTGCAATACCATGAATATTTCAAGCTTTTTTCAAACTATGCCTCCAACTTATTGCTTTTCGGCTTTTGCACTTTTGTTTGGTGGACCTTCGTTTTTTTAATTCCTTTACGGGCAAGAGTAAACAATAGACACCAAAATCGAATGACCTTGATTTGACAAATCAGATAGCTCAGCATTACAAATGGATGCTAGTCATAATCCTCGTAGAAAATGTCTCCTGGATTTGGTTTTTGACATCTCTGGGAAAAATGTGTTGATAGGAAGGAATAAAACATGCATATGTGGAGGGATAATGACTCCGCAGAAGGATTGCCGGGCTATTTGTGGTTGTACATTCAGATGCAACCACTTTGTATGAGGAAGTCTCTATAAGCTGTTGAGTCGTACTTAATGGGTGATTCTTTTAGACACTTATCGAAATCAAAGCTCTCTCTTAGTAATATATTGCGTATATGCAACCAACATCTGCTGCAGCTGGAGAAATAGAGAATACAGTGGTTTGATATGTCTATAACCACTTCTATGAGAATGTGGGACCAGTTTTGCAGCATATTAGGGATATATACCCTATATGATTCATTTTTATTATATATATGTCGTAGATACTTCTTTGTAAATTAAGTACCACTTCTCACCCAGAAGAATCTGATTGGCCGTTTCAAGGTTGTCTGGAGTTGGTGTCTATTCTTTCCTGTTGCCCCTTTACGTTCCCAGTGGAACATAGGGTTTCAAGCTAGAGGCTTGAAGTTTCAGTAGCAGTGGTGATTACTTCTACAGGATGGGGTTGCTAGCCTCATGCCCAATCCTCCCTCTTTACCAGTCTTACTACTAGCTTATCGAGGTAAATGAGTGCGTCGGCCAGGGATCGAACCATCTGCGCGGTCGGCGAGCATTCTATCGCTATGCCACCCACGCACGGACCTTCGTATATATATATATATATATATCATTTAGGGAGATACCTGAATGCGAAACTCGACTCCGTTAATCGAGGTTTTGTTGCATAGTAAAACGGAATCGATTAGAGAAGGAGTAGTGTACTGGTTGATGCGCTGAACTCGTACTCATGCAGGCGTGTGAAAGCTTTGGGAGAGTTTCGTCCTGAACCTATGACAGTTAAGCGTCTGCCAGTGGTGCCTATTGTCACGTTCTAACTAATTACAAATTTGATATTAATTCTGTTCATAAATCACTTTTATGAAACCCTGCTATGACCGAAAATTTAATACCCTTTATCTCCGTGTTCTCTTTCAGAAGACCTATAATCTGAAACTGAGGTTTACTGTGCACTTCTGTGGAAATGGACACACTTTCTCAGGCAAAACAAAATCAGCTTGTGCTTCAGTCCCTGAAACAGGATTGTGAACAAGCTTTATCTGCCTTGAGGTTGCTATGCAACTCGACTCATAGTTGTTCGACTGTGAGTTCCAATATGAATTCAGAAAGCCAGAAGTCACTTAATGAAGAAAAAATTCCGATACTTGAAGCTACCTTAAAACAGATTGAGAAGGGTTTGGAAGATACAGAGGTTTTTCTTCAATATAGACTTACACTCAAATTAAGGATTTGTTTATGCATGTCAAACACATTGAACAACTGGAAACCGAATTAATGACAATGAGGTTACATAGTCGACGGTTGTGCGAAGAAAATCGTTGGTTACGAGAGACGTTAAAGTGCACTCAATCAAAACTAAAAGTAGTCATCTGATGTATTTTTAGTAATGATTTGTACAGGAAAGTGAAATGTTACTTGCTCAGAGTGAGGTGGAAAAGGAACAGCTTAAATTTATGCTGGATATGAAGAGATATGATGACGTGTCTTCTAATAATTTTGAAATCGATCAGAGTAAGCTTTCTTTGATTTCGCGAGAATGTTTTTATATCGTGTTTTTAAGTACTAAACTTGTCAACCTCTTCCATCTTTTTTCTCCTAACTTCATAGTTTGATCTAATCCTGTAAGTGATTCTGAAAATATTTATCGTCTGAATCACATGTATGCTCAACTGTTGTTAAATGTCGCCCTGCTTTGAATTTTCTATGATATAAATTTTCCCAGGTTCTGTTTGTTACTATCAGTCATTTTTAAAATTGGGACGCTCAATTTTTCCCTGGAAGTTTGATAGAAAGCGAGCTTAGGTTAATTCCATTATGGATAAAATTTTATTTTGATAAAATCACATGGTGTTATATAGTAATATTTACTGATGACGTTTCGAGCACAATTCATTGCCCACAATCATATCAAGGTACTCACATAACTTTCTTGCTTCATTTATGTACATCAGTAGTAATTGATTAGATATTTGATTTGGAGGAGGTAATCGGTAGTGCGGTTCAACAATTGGATTTACATGAGAAGTCACATGATTTCTGGCGGTCGATGAAATGCGTTTCGTAAAACAACTCTTCCCTCGTCACAAGTGGACAAAGACAAGAAAAGGCACATCTGAATATTTATGCAACTTGCGAATATATCTCCCTTCTTAATAAAGTTAATACTGGAGATATCACTTAAGCTAATTACGAGACGTTTACTATGAAATACAAAAGCCCAAAGAACAAACATTTTCTGTGCCCATTAGGAGCCACTAATATGTATTCCTTCATTTATTTTTGGTTGTAAACTTTTTTTATTGGTGAATTCGTGTTGATGCTGAAGAGCTTGTCTTAGGTTTCTCCCTTAAATTCATTAGAATTGTTAGACTTATAGTTTTCATCGACTAACATTTAAATAATCTACCCAAAAGAAAGTTAATTCACATACTTTAATCCTTAGGATCATTTCGCTATTTAATTATTAGAGATGTCTTTCTTATGCGCCGATTTTTGCAGTGGATTCATTTTTACAGTCGGCAGCTTTAAGTGGAATTTAGTTTAACTCCAAATATTCTTTTCCACTACTCCATAGTGTTATGCGAGTATTTGGGAATTATCAATTGCCCTAATTTTTACGCAGTGGTCTCCTGTCACCCTTGAAATCCTCTTCTAACTCTCACTTGTATTTTGCCCTCTATTTACCACCTGTCCTTAATCAATCTGCTGTTGTCACCAAAACTCGTGCAAAATAAAACTTCTAGTTTCAAAAGGTGGTATTACTGACTACGATTGAGAATTTTAATGATCAGACTCTGTGTCACATAGGATGACGAGGACTGAAATATCCAACTTTACGAGTGTGTTGCGATTCTATGTAAAGCTATGCATCGAATCTAGCGAATCTGGTAACTAAAATTCAGGTGTCAGGAAAGTTAGCAAAAAGATCTGGAACTTGTAATTTTGTTTGCTGCAACCTAAAGAGGGCTAGCGTTTCTTCAAGAAACGTGTTGTCTAACTCCTGAATTGTATGGTTCAAAATATAACGTATACGATGAACGAAATATTCCCGTATCGGATCTTTATCTTATAACGGATAAATTAAACTAAATAGTCGCCTTCGTTAATGTATCATTTTAATCAGGTTATAACTGCACTGCATACTTGTTTAGTAAAATAAGCAATAGGACAGTGCATAATGGAATATGTTACTTTCCAGTAGATAAACAAGCAAACCCATCCAAACACACACGGAGTCAGTTTTACTGCAAGTAAGCCATCGGTAATATCTTATCTAGTTACAGGGGTTGTGTATCTTCAAGAAAAATCGATTCCCACAAAATTACATACATTCATTATTCGTGAGTACTGATGTACATAAAATCTAAGTTCAGCGATACCTCCCTGTAAATTTAGGCACTGTATTACAAAACATCGTGCTGTCATATTATTTGGCATAATTTCCAATCGTTTGTTCTATTTACCTAAAGTTTTGAACTACTTAAATTTGATAAATTTTGATATAAATAATCTCACCATTCATACCTTCAGAAGGTGACCCACCAATAATGATGTCATCTGTTCTCGGTCTAATGAGTACATCAAATCATACCAAAGTTTCTAATCAAGTCGATCGACCACTTACGCAAAACAGATTACGAAAGTCAAGTGCCACTAGTTTATCATCATTTTCTACATGCAATCAGTTGGAAATGAGTGGATTTATGAATTCCAGTCTGTTGGATACAGATTTAGATTCACTATCAGACAATCGTCATCGTGATAGTAATGCTTTGCCCGGTATGCGCGAGCATCAGAATTTTCAGTCAGGACTTAAGACAATACATCATATCGTTGCAAGATATAAAAGCCTAGGAAAATATGATGTTGCAGCATCTTTGTGCCTACAAATTATTCGAAACTTAGAAAAGTCTGGTGGTCGTGATCAAGCTCAGATTGCTACTCTTCTTGCTATTTTAGCTGAGGTTTATCGGTAAGTTGCATGCATTGAATGTGACTTTTTATTACATTTTCATAAAATGTCGTGGAAAACAATTGAAATAATCAGCTGGTTGAAGGATAGGAAGCTACTGTTATGAATAACTTATTATTGGTTTATCTTTTACACTACATGTCAAGTCTCTTAATATTTACTACCATCAACTTCACCTATTAGTGTAGTAAAAAAAAACATGACAAATTGGTAAGTACCATTACATAAATAAATTATAAACTAACTGTACATAGTGTTGTTTGTTGTCTTTTTAACGTATTCACGTCAGATAGTTTTTCACCTTATATTTTTTCAAATAGGGAACAAGGTAAATACGAAGATGCTTGTGATCTCCTTAAACAAGCGGTATGTATACGGGAGAAGACATTAGGGCCAAATCATATGTTGGTACGTTTTATAATATTTTTTTCTCCATATGGTGTCTGCACTTCCACAATTTCTGTATCTATCAGATTCAATGCATATAATCCATGTTGATTCATTAACTTATTGCATTAATTTGTGAAGACTATATTCATATCTTCGTCAATTGTTGAAAATGCGAAACTTCCGATTTCTAAACGTTAATCTGAAAGGTCGTTGTTTTGAACACTAATTGATAGCTCAGTCGAAGTTTAACAATTTTTCGTGTTGTTCGAATCATTGTGTTTAGTAATTAGTGGTTTATTACTAATTTTAGTGACTTTGACAGCACTTCATGCATGTATTATTATTTTATTCCTTTTCGTCCCCAGTGGAACATAGGGTTTCAAGCAAGAGCTTTGAAGTTTCGGTAGCAGTGGTGTTTTATTTTTACGGGATGGGGTTGCTAGCCTCCTGCCCAACCTTCCCTCTTTATCAGCCTTATTACTGGCTTAGCGAGGTAAAGGACTGTGTCGGCCGGGAATCGAACCCCGAACCAAGTGAGTGGTTGGCGAGTGTTCTACCGCTGTGCCACTGACGATGCATGTGTTAAACTTATTTAAATATCTGGTAATTATGATTATATATATATAATTTGGGTTTTAAGCACTTGAGAAGAATCTGCAATACAGTAAAAATGAATTCATCTACATTTGTTCATGTTTGTTGTTGGAAAGAATTATACGGAATTCTAATTCGAAAGCTAAATTACTAGCTACTGTTAACAAAAACCCTCAGTTTGTAGGCGTTTCAAAATGATCAAGTATATATGTATGCATGCATCTCGACAACCGTACACATGTTTGTCTTCTGAAAAATAAATCAGACAATATTCTGTGTGGGCTGTGATGTCACCGAAACTGTTTAGACTTTGGTAGGTGAAGTGATTCATTGATATGACTGTTTAGTTAAATGATTTACAATTCCCTTTTCTGAAATCATAAATATGTAAACGTATGGTGAATTATGAAAGTTGATGGAAGAAGCATATGTTGTTTCTGCAGGAATATTTTGGATATTCATGAAATAATGATAAGAAGTAAAATGTCATTATGAGTATGAAAATCAAAGCATGTCTTTGATTGTCTTTAATTTACAAATTTTTATTCACGTTTATCTTATAGTAAATATTTCCTTATCAAAATTCACCTGCTTCGCCTAGTGATCGCACTAAGTTGGCTAATAAAATAACCAGTGTTTTTTGTCATATCTCATAGCAAGGTGGCCTTAAATCCAGTTATTTCCCAGTGACTTTCGTTTTACTTTTAATTAACAGGTTTTCGTGTTTTTCTGGTAAAAGATGAACACTAGTTTGGTTCAGTGAATGCATTGCATTTTAAGTGCTTTAAATCTTCCACATATGTGTTCAATTCGAAATTTATACAAAATCTTCGCTAAGTCATTTAGGATAAGGAAAAAAAATACATGCTTTAGCGAAAAGATTTAGCGGTTTCATTTACTACAGTATTTTAAAATTTTATTTCATGAATGTACTCAGTAATTTTTGTTTTTGCTTGTTTATCAAACAAAATAAGTAGAGGATTGTTACGATGAGTGAGTGTTCATAAAAATATATTGAGATTTCATGAAAGATGAATAGTTGCGGAGCAATGCTAAATACTTAATGGTGGAATTATTACCAAAATATGCATGTGAACAGGAAGTTGTTGGTATTTTATAGAAATTACATAGGATGAAAGAAGTAGAGGGATGTTTTTCAGTTCACAGGTAAATCATAACTAGTTTTTTTATAATCAAAGCTGTGGCTTCTCACTTTTGATTACTGAAGCTTTAACAGTGCTGTGGAGGCAGATATGCATTAATTGCAGGCTGTTGTTCACTTTGTGAACATTTTGGAAGAGAGTTGTTAAGTGTCCTCTAGATGTTCAGTTATTGCAATAATTTCAAAAACACTCCTGTCTTTTTGCAAGCAAACAGGAGTATGTTCTTGAATCTTTTCAGATAGGACTGTTTTCCAAATACTAGTATTGCTGGCTGCACACAAGAAGCCTATATAGTATACATACAGAAATAGTCAAATGAAATCATGGTCGACTTGAGAGCACTGTTTTCAAAGCTCTTGAGAATGACGTTTCTTTTTTGAATTTGGAATTCATCTCTTTATGCATTAGCTGTTAGGTCATCTTTAAACCCCACGCTTCGTATAGTGAATTGTATAACTATGGCAAACTTGATTATTTTTGATTTTGTTGTTGAACTAAATAATTGACTATAGAACATGGTAATCTATTTTCGGGAATTGTTGACAGTTTTTAAATTTGTTAGAAAGGTGTAGAAAGCTTAGAGTAGAGGAAGTGAATTTGCTTCACTTCTCACTACTGGTTGTCATTAGTTTGCGAAATAACTTATCGGAGGAACCACTTGTATGGAATTCACTATTAGAAAAATTTTGGAATCCACTTCATCTACTGTGTTTGGAACTGTGAATTATATGCCATCTGTTTTCGGACAATAGGTGCAGTTTATCGCTTTGTGTACCAACTTGTATGTATTTGCTGAGATATATTATTTTGTTGCGTTAATGCATAGTTTCATTATTTCATTCATGTTTTTCGCACATTAATATTGCGTTATCTTACTAGTTTAGTTATCAATCTTGTGTTATAAGCATATATATATATATATACATATATATATATATATATATATATATATATACTAGTTTTTATGTACTTTATTCTTGTTTTGTTTAACAGATAGCATCTACCCTAAACAATTTGGCTGTTCTACATGCTAAACTTGGTCAATACGCGGAAGCTGAACCATTATGTCGACGTGCACTTAGTATACGTGAAAATGTAAGTTATCAGTTTAGATTTGTAAGCGAAGTTACTAAATAAGCAAATCTGAGGTTCTGTTACACTTATATTTCTTGGTCCATCGATTCAACTATTTGCAGTCAGATATACTCTGTCTGAGCCTTACTGGTAGCTACATGTATTCCGTCGTTAGATTAGTAGTCCTTTTTCTGTTTTTAGCATAGAAATACGAACAAGGCAGTGGAAAACAATATATTGAAATTTCTAAATGAGTAAAACACACGCCAGAATCAAAACTCAGTTTTAAATCGATATTATTACCACTTAGTATTACTGTTCTGTTAGGTTGCTAGTGGAACATAGGGCTTCAAAAGCACATCTCCATTTCATTCTGTTCTCTGTAGTCCTCTTTAGAAGGCTACACGATTGTCCGTATACTGTCACTTCCTCTTCACACAATCTCCTCCATGTCACCCCTGGACGACTAACTCGTCGTTTCCCACTCGGGTTCCACTTGATGACCTGCCTGGCGTGTGATGTCACTCAATCTCCTCCTCAGCATATGTCTAATCCATCTCCTTTTACTTTGACATATTTCCTAAGTAATCGTTTCTCGGTTGGTTCGTTCCCAGAGTTTCTTGTTATTAGTCATCTTCTGTATTGAGCCAGCGAAGGCAGCTGTTGATAAATATCTGCAGTTTGTTGAAAGTACTTTTCGTGACACACCAAGTCTCTGAACCACATAGAAGCACTGACTGACTTGATATGAGTGGTAGAAATCGGATTCTTCTTGTTTATGCTGAGTGCAGCAGATTTCCACACTGGTTTTAAATTGATGAATGTCACTGTTGCTTTCCTGATTATGCCCTTGGCGCCTTCGTTGGTGACGCTTGTAGCTTATACGATGGTGAAATAAGTGAAAGCGGTGACTTCCTTCAGATTTCTCCCGTTGATAGCGATTGGTACTTTTATTGTTGTTGGTTGGTTATCTTCATCACCTCTGTCTTCTCTATGTTCACTTGAAGTCCTGCCTTTGCTGCTTCTTTTGTCAACTTTTTCGTTTTCGTTCGTAGATCTTCAGATTTATGTGACACTAAACATAAATTGTTAGCGAAGTCCAGATCATCTAGAGTCATCTTGTCGGTCCACTGTGTGCCCGTCCATTCTCACCTTCCGGATAATCCAGTCCACCAAAATCAGGAGTCTTGTTGTTGAGAGTAGGCGGCTTTGTCTGATTCATATCTTCAATTTTTTCAGAGGATTGGTGGTCACTGGCAGTTCTGTGGCTGTTGGTTGTATTTCTGGAGGAGATGCAGAAGATAGTCGGTTTAAGAGTGGCTATCCCCACACTCAATCTTCCCTCTTTTCCCAGCCTGGGAACAACGAGTAAACTAGTAGACTAGGCGAGGCCAGTGCCTTCGTATGCACGCTTGTATTAGCAGAGAATAAGAGTGAATGTAGTTTAAGAAATATCTGTCCCTCTGTCTTTTAAGATAAAGTGTGTGTCAGTTGTGATTTTTCAAGTTTCACTTATGTCTGTTTAATTTCACCGTCTTGCATATCATTAGTCGCAACCATCAAATGCGACAGACACTGTTGTTGAACTTTCCTCATCAGTATGATTGACAAAAGTATTCATTGTTAATTAAAAACGTTTACATTTAAATAAAAACGGATTTCATTCGTATCGGACACAATGTTTTAAATGGCTTCTGTTAATGTAATTACTACCTGAATTACTATAACCTCGTTAACAAGGTATACTAAAGAGTGAAGCGCAAGTTTTGTGTTAAATTTCCTATGACTACTTGGTTGGTGAATAGAAAGAAAAGCCTTTCGTTAGGGTGGTAAGGTATGATTCAATCAGTAAAAATGATGTATTGCGACTTTTTTTTTCACAATTTGACTAGGGTTAATTCACTTTCACATACAAGCAGTCTGCAGTTGTCGTTGTTCTTAAGTCGTCTGAGATTATTGATAAATAATTGTAATCTGATATCCATTATGGGAGAATATCTAAATAGCCAACTGATAGTTTCAACTTTAACTCTCAGTTTCTTGCTAAATTCAGATAGGAGTACGGTCTAACTCGGTTCAAAAGTTGTCTCATTTGATTAATAATTAGTCATCAAGTGAACAGAAGTAGCGCTCTCATGCTTATCTATCGAGCCTTTCTTTTACACATAACTGAAGTTTTGAGAATTCGGGACAATAAGCGTAGTTTGCGTATTAAAAAGTAGTTTTTTGTCTTTGTCTAGGTAAATCGAATAAATTTAATAAGAACTCTCACCTCTTTCGTACATTTCACGTTTATTTAAACTCTGATTATCTGTCCACTTCATCTTTAGTATTGTGTAACTTTAATTTAGTAAAATTTTGACCTTAATATTGAGGCGTGTACACTATCGTGTTATCTTCACCATTCTTATCGCCATTTGTGTGAACTACTTGTACTTTTATTATCGTTGACATTATCAATAATTTTATTGTTATTAATTATTATTGTCGTATTTAAAACATTTAACACATATTTGGTTTTCCGATTTTGACCACGGATTGATATCAGTTGGAGAACCAATGAAAACCAGGGAGTACTGGACAGCTGTTTCATCCTTATTTGGGAATCATCGGCAGTACGCACCCACCTCCAGGGTTCGAACCCCGGGACCTTTCGGTTACAAGGCGAGCTCGTTTACCATTCAGCCAGTGGGACCCGATTCAATGGCCTATGAATTCTAGGATGAAACAGCTGTCCAGTACTCCCTGGTTTTCATTGGTCCTCTAACTGATATCAATATGTGGTCAAATTTGAAAAACAAATCAAATCCTTACAAATCAACCCTTGAAAAAGTATATTTGATCCACAAATTCAGTCATTGTTGTTAGTGCACACTTTTAAAGGTCTATGTCATTTTTGTTTGAAGCATGTGAATTAAAATTACCTGAAATCTGTTGCATGAAGAGTATAGAAGTGTAAATCACTTCTCTATTGACGTGAATTTCATGTTTCAAGTCTAATTGAAATTCTCAACTCGCACCACTGATGAGCTTGGCCCCAGTGCAGCGAGACGGCCATCCAACTTTTATATCACTCTTGCCTGATTAACGAGCACTACTGGTTTATGTGAGTAGTGTCAATCAGTCTTATGGTCTTCCTTTAAATAAACCCGAAGTTGTGGAATAGCGTGTAATAGTAAAGTATTCATTTTGAAATATATTTATATTCGATAAGATGAAATCTGTTAATAGCATTTCGTCCTATCCGGTACTCGTCAGCGGTGTTATTTCTACTGAAACTAGTACTAAACACCTATTGTTTCAAATACCAAGTCTTTGTCTATTGACCTGGTAAGCTACAATAACTACCCCTTGTACCTTAGGCATCAGCTGCTACTAATCGAAGCTTGTATGTTCCTCGGAGCAAAATGATACACCTGCTCTATAGGGCCATCCCATCAGATACAACAAGAAATTCGCAAGCTTCAATAAATTCCAAAATAGTTTGCACCACATCTGGACAAAAGTCGAAATTCGAAATGTTAGTCAGTTGCCTGATCCTATCCTACTTTATTTGTCGATTACCGAGTGTACTTTATTACCATTGGTTTATGATGGTCCATTGGAGTGAGGAGATCATTGCTTTCATTATCTGTAGTAATGAGCTATATTTTATCATTTCTATTATGTACAAAGTTGGACTTTTAAATATAAAAACAAACAAACCAAGGAAAGAGCTGAAGGGTTTGTTTAATTAATATCACTGAGTTGAACTCCTCATATTATGCAAGTAGATATAGAAATGTTAAATTTTAGTTGAATAAATCCTGAAAAGTACTTTTATCGTTACTACGTAGTTATTTTTAATCTCCAAATTTTTATCAATGATGGCAATCAACTTTCATAGAAGTAGTAAGAATATTTTAAAAATTTACCAACGAATTCTGTCGAGTAGAGGCTGTGAACTTACCACTTATTTATCTACCTTCTTTTTCTAATAGATATATTGTCTTTAGTTGATTCTTTCGTGTTGCTATATTTAATTCGACTGCGATACTGTCATTGATTTTTACTAAGTCTATTGATCGTTCTGCTCCACGTTTTCTTTTCATGATAAACTCTGTATGAAAAAAAAACCATCCTTACGATTTGGCAATGAATTATCTTAGTTATAAATTCCTACTTCCTTTCTCCTATAATTTTACCCTTTTCATCTGATTATCTGATAAATCGACGCTACTGTTCAAAAGCGATTACCTCTTCATCTAGCCTTCTGTTGTGTTGATTGATACATTGATGTTGCATAAGTAACTTCTTGGCTTGATATCTTAAATTTGTTTGAAGTAAGTTGTGTAGTATGATGATTAAGTCACAGTCAGCTTAGCAACTATGGACATGCTCCTATAAGGGGTTCAGTGGAACAGAGTTCGAACTCTTGGCCCACCGACTGAAGGTTGAGAATATAAGGATAATCGTGGCCTACGTTATGCTGTTTATTAATTTGATGGAAGTTTATTAACTATTATAAGGGTAATATTGTATCGTCAATGGAAAAAAATCTGAAGGAAGTCATCTGTTTCAATTACCCGACATAGATCTTTCATTTATATGCAACACGGATAAAGATGTCAAAACCAGTAGGGATCACCTGAGGAAATCAAGACAGGCTTCCGTTACTTTGAAATTGGTGTTAATATTCACAACACCCAGGTCAAAGTCCAAGATGCAGATTGTTTACAGTGACCTCACGTCGTTGTTTCTTGATGATTCAGAGAATCGGCGCACGCGTCAGCAAAAGCGTTTCTAACAGGCTATTACAGACTTTCATCAACATCTCAAAGTTCAATTACTCAGAATAGATTTTTCATGTACCTGACTAACAACCACACTTATCTTGTGAGGGCTAATACTACGCAGCCACCCAGGCTGAAGTAATTGGGGCAAGACCCGAACCCGTGACCTGTTGACTGGGAACCAATTCATCACATCTCATCAACACCTACCTTCATTCGCCACTGAGGAGCAGATAGTCTGCCGGGAAGGATAAACAACAAGAAACTGTGATAATGCAGAGAACTAACGAAGAACCTTTTACCCGATAAATTTGTAGAAGGAAATGGGGATGTATTGAACATGCTCTGAGATGACGTTCAAGTGACACAACACTCCAGCTAGGTTGTCGAGTGAATCCCGATTGGAAAGAGGCGAGTCGGTCGTTTTTCCGAGGCTAACGTAGAGAAGGTCATATGAAGAGGAAGTAAAAGTTTATGCGCAGTCTTGGAGCCAGGTGGAACCAGGTACAGCACCAAGTGGAATGAAGATGCACCCACCGTTTGTTGCACTCGAAACTCAAAAAATGAATAATAATGAGAAATATATCTGCTATATATATATATATATATTCATATTCTACTGTCCAGTTTGTCAAACACGATAAAATTGTTGTTCATTGGTTTTTATTTTCCAATATCTGTTTAAATGACATAAGTCGGTGACAAAAATTTGTCTTCACTATTATGATTCAAAGTGTCCCGCAATCAGTCGTATTGTTTCCTCTTTAATGTTGAAATCTTGGACATGTGCAAGTAGTTAAATTTCACCTAAATGATCTTAATTTTAATAACTACTGTATTTACTTCCACTGTGACGGGCTCACGTGTTTCACTTGATTTACAATAACTATGTTCTTTTGAATGAATTAATTTTGAAACAATTGCAGTCTGACGGTTATTCACTTCACTACATAATCCTGTGCGTTTTAATGGCCTTAGCAACATGCCACCACTGAGTTGTACACAAAGTCCATTTAGTTTTACCTGATTGTGTTTTAGGATTATTGTCCGCTTGTACTTAGTTTTACTGAGTGGGATTCATAGTGTGAGATTATCAAACTCTATTTATGTATTTATATTCACATTTCTTTAATGAAAACTTAATATTTTCTGTTAATAACAAAACCATATACGGTAAGATATATTTACTACTTTATGTATAAACCAATCCATGTTTACTGTGTGGATGGTGTTTTCTGTTTTCTGATTTCCTCAGGGAAAATTCCTCATTTGATGCTGCTTAGGTGATATAATCTTCTTCTTACTTATGACTATTATCACTGCATCATTTGAGTGTCTTCAAATACTCCTTTTTCTGTTGCGTAATCTGCATATCATTCAAAGGTGTGGCTCAAGTTAGTTACTGCTGATATAAGGATAAAACTTGGGCACTACAGTAGAGTATAAATCCATTATGCATAAAATTTTTATTTTGATAAAGGCACACAGTGTTATACAGTAATATTTAATGCTTGCTTTCATCTATCACTCGTAGTAGCAAAGGTGTATTTCATTCTATTGGAATCTGCAGATAAATTTGCATTCTTTGAAACCAATCTAATAACACCTGATTGAAATTGTGAGCTGTCACTATCTTGCGTATCTCTGACTTTTAACAACACGCTTAAAAAATTAATTACATACATGTTCAGTTGCATATATTCTTTTTAAATGTTTTCTTTGCCATGTGCATGCAAATTCATAGGTACTCTACTGTGGTCCAAAGTAACGTTCGTTAGATGCATGTACACTTTTGCATTCATATGTGAACTGAAGTGACGAAAATCAGTGGCATTTTTCAGGGACGCCTAATGTCCCTATTTCTGTTTAATTTTATCATAAATATACTAACAGGATTGACCCCGACTAACTCTAGCGAATTCGGGATTGATTTCTTACTCGGGAATCGTCTTGTTAACTTAAAATATACGGATGATATAGTCCTCCTAGGTGAAGACGCTGATTATATTCAGAGTCTTCTAAATACCTTGAGCAGCAATCTTCGAAAGTTTGGAATGCAATTTTCTCCTGTCAACAGTAAGATGATGTTACAGGACTGGACTATTTCAACTCCTAGTTTGAAGATAGGGAGCGAAGTGGTAGTGCGTGTTGAACACTTCACTTATTTGAGAAATTGCATCAGCCCCAGTGGACTAACTGATGACGAGATCTCAGCATGGATGCAATGGACTAGTGTGGTATTTACCAACTGATGTCATCTCTTAATATAAGAATAAGACTTGGGCACTGTGGTAAATTATATTTCTATTATGGACAACATTTTATTTTGATAAAGTCTCACAGTGTTATACAGTAATATTTACTGATTCCGTTTCAAGCACAATTTATTGTTCGTAATCATATCATATCATATCGCCTTGATATGATTATGAGCAATAAATTGTGCTCGAAACGTCATCAGTAAATATTACTGTCTAACACTGTAACTTTATCAAAATAGAAATTTTATCCAAAATGGAATTACGTCATCTCTGATATGCATATGATATCTGTCTTTCGACTAAAGATTATGTGTATTATTTATTCTCTATTCCTTCATGTTCTGACTGAGAAATATGACTTCAAGCTAGAGCTTTGAAGTTTGGGTAGCAGTGGTTTTATTTTTACGGAATGAGGTTTCTAGCCTCACGCCCGAACCACTGTCTTTAATGACCTTACCACCGACTTAGCCAGGTTTTTTTTGGGAGTGCGTCGATGGGGCATTGAACCCCGAGCCATAAGCATAGTTGGCGAGCGTTCTACCATTGAACCACCGATGCACTAGACATGTGTACTGTGCATGGCCATTGCAAGTGGAAGATTTGAAAAAGCTAGCTATCTTTAACCACAGATATTAGCTTTTTATCTCCCGTAATGGATGGTATACTATGGTAGGTAATATTGATGTTAGGCATCGAGTCCTTGGTAAAGAGTAAGAACCAATTGATTACGTTGTAAACTACATCGATTGGAATGGTTAGGATATGTGTTACTCATGCCTAGCCATCGCCTTCCTTGACTGTCAGTGTTAACTGACGTAGGATCAGGTTGCTGAAACCAAAACTTGAAGTCAGTCCATGAAAAACTTGACACATAGTTTTAGTCATGTAGGGTGGTGAAGGCTTCCTGTTTGAAGTCCTAGGGATGTCTGAAGACAATCGGTGATATGGCTCAAAATTTTTCTCATTGGCGAATATGCGTTCACTCTTTGTGATCTCTCATATCCTCTAAACCGACATTTTTTTCATGTTACTGTTCTTTTTCTCTCACATTTCTGCCGATTGTTCTTTTGAGTGCCTTTTTTCTCCCTTTCGTCTTCCTTTATGTGCTACTTGGAGCTTGGCAACTTGACTTAGTGTACGTCTGTGCAAAGTTCTGTGTTCTGTTGAAACGAGTCAGTCATTTGAACTAGGTAGTACTATATGAAGAAGTAAGATTTCCACAGTGGATCAGTCCGTTTAGCTTAAAGCATGGTATATGTAATTCGGTCAAATTAGGCACCATTCCTCTTCGAACTATACCAGCCTCTTAATGCAAAGGATGATGCCGATGAACAAATGTATAAGACTTTTTCTTTGTTTTACAGACAGTAGCTTCGATTTAAGAGTTCTAAAGAAGAAATTTGTGACACTGTATGCTGGAACTATATCGCATAATTTCAATGAAATACAAAAAAAGCAACAATAAATTGAAGCGAAGTTAATCGAAAAAATGCAATGCACTTTGTTTCATCCAATGCTGATTCAGGCCTACTTATCAAACCCTTAGAAATAGGTCAGAAGTTCATGTTTCTGATTAATTTTATGGCGATTTGATAAACAACAGTAATCTTCATGTAACTACACTCATAACGATGTGTATCAGTCTCACTTATGTGTGAAAGTATGGCCACGTCTGCTGAATGCCAAGAAGTCCACTTTTTATTCAGTCATATTCTAGTTACACATTTGTCTGGCTTTTGTCTTTTTCTTAGCATTCGCCTCAACGAACATTCAGGCGATGCTGAATTTGGTCTACAAATTAGAAAGTGTTATTGTGTGATGATATTATCTCACAGCATCGAGTTCTGTAACTTCACACATTTTTCGCATACGATATTCCAATCATTTTAAAATGGAAATAATGTTAGCTAACTTGTTGTGCTGAATCACTAACCTAAGACTATTGTTTGTTACTGTCCACATGTGTCGTCTGTCCAACTTACATTGCTTATCTGCAAACATATGTAATATATCGTATTTGCCGTTTGATTTTTCACTACAGTTATTTGGTGCAGATCATTTGGGTATTACAAATCAGCTGAACAATTTGGCTCTGCTTTGTCAAAATCAAGGCAAATTTGAAGAGGTAAGGTACACAGATTTTTCATCATTGTTTCTTTATTGATACTATTATCTGGACTAGAGTCCATATGAGTGCTGAAATACAATGGTTGGCGAAACTAAATCCTTTATATTAGAATTGGTTGCCTTAACGTAAATACATTCATGCTATGGGTTATGTCATTTTTTTTCTATTTTTGCCTCCTTTTTATTACTTTTTATTTATTTTCTGCAGATATGAAGAGGAAAGTACGTTTACAGTAGTACTAGGTAATAATGTAAGGTTGATAATGCCTGTACTGTAAGTAAAATGCAGATGTTCGGTTTTTTAGGAATTTAATAAGCTTTTTAAGGTGGTAGGTTTCGTAAGCACTTGGCGCAGCAACTGAAACACTCAACTCTTGACCGATGCATCCAAGTAACAAATCCTGTTTCATTCGTTCATTCTGACATGGCAAGTAAGCAGTATTATACGCTTTCACAAATCCTTGTCACTGATATCGCAGTATGAGAATGTGTACTGGGTTGCCTGACTGCATTATTGTTTATTTCACGGTAGTTTTTATTAAAACGTGGCCCACTATATCTAATTATCAATCCACTTCTTCGAGATGAATTTCTCGAAGTTCTAGTTAAAAGTCATCACATTCGGTGTCCATCAGATGATGTTTAAAGACAGGTGTTCATATATGATATTAGGTGCTGGTCAGTTGTGTTGCATCACAAATCAACAGAATTTAAAAAATCACTCCTATAGCTCAATGATCATAAATTCATGGTCCTTGATTTATACCTCGTGGTGTTTTTTGTGGGCTTTACTGAAAGGTTCAGAATTATGGCGAAATGGCTTTCAGCCAGTGAATGAGTGTCAGATTCGATTCCCGCGCCACATACATCAACTTTGTCTGGAAGGAGCATGAATGTTTCTCAATTAAACCATTCAGCGCAGATAATACAACCAGATCAGAATCTGTTGCGAGTTTTATTTGGCATGTTAGTTTTTTTTAAAATACAACCGTAGGTCTGTATGTCTTGAGTTGTTCATTACTATATTCAGCAGATAAATCCATATGAATTTATACTAGTTGTGGAATAATCATATTATTATCTGAGCTTAAATAGTCATACCAAATTTTAGGTCATATATAATCATTTTCTTATTTCAGTTGCAATGTTTTGTTCTGTTATTTAATCGCTAACTTCACAATTAGTTGAAATTTTAAGCGTCATTGTGGTATAATCTGAATTGATTTATTATTTTCACATTTGTTGGGATCGCGAGGACCTACAGTGTCCTCGAAATATTATCAACACTAACATGACGTTCAGTGTTTCCAATATTTCTTTTGTTGTTGTTGTAGCAATAGTAAATCTATTCATTCCCATAACAGACAAATTCATCATGGATATATTTATAAATTGAACTTTTCAGTATATTTCCTTTTGCTTCACTGAATCCAGTAAATGTTTATTTGGATCCGATGTTCCTGTCTCAGACAGATATGAACACAGTGCCTAATGATGTCGAGTGCTTGTGTGTTATAAAAGCACCGATGTGAAATACTTCTACGGGCAGTTATCAGCTGTTCACAATGTCAATACATTGGCTTGAACGAAACGATTGTTTTCCTTTAGCGATAATAGCGACTCTAAGGATAAACATAATGAAGACATTGTAACTATCAGACTGAATTCATATTTCAAAGTAATACACCTCTTGATATGGCCATGGGGCGAACAATACGCATGTCAAAAGTCACTTAGACAATGTATTATTCAAACATTCACTATCCATCACATGTCAGCATAGAGACCACCTGTCACTGTATTAAGTGAAGGCAGCAGTATACTGACAAGCATTTCTGGCAGAATTTCTCATCAAGATTTGCACCGTAATGAGTCTGACTGTTCAAAGTTTCCTTTTTTTGAAACGTTTTTCGCACTTGTCATGTGAGTTCATTGTGAAACCGAGGTATGATAATAATAATAATAATAATAATAATAATAATAATAATCAGTTAGAGAACCATTTAAAGCCAGGGAGTACTGGACAGGTGTTTCAATGGTTCTCTAACTGATTTCAATCCGTGATCAACCCGTAAAGGCAAAACTAATCCTTACAATCCAACTATAGACAATAATAATAATAAAATATCTTAAATAAACAAAGACACTCAAACGTAGTCTACCTGTAAGCAGAATAGTGGAATATTTCTAAACTGCTGAATATAATTGGAAACATTTATTTCCCGATACGAATTTAAAACAAGCAATAAAGGTTAATAAAGTAGGATTTAATGAATTCATCAAATTTCGGTAGAACTCGTTAGCTGAATACTCTACATACACGGATATATATACTTTTAAAATTACATTGGGAGATATAAAACTGATAAGTAAACAAACTACATTGAATTAGTCATGCGGAAAGACAGGTGCGAATGTTTACCAGGTCATGTTCAAATAGATAAGGGGAGAGAGAGTATGAGAGATCAAAAGTAAGGTAAATTGCATTACGCCTCAATTATATCACTTAGATAAACAATTAGTCATTAGAGAATATAGCAAGAATTGCAAACAGAGTAATATCAATAGTAATAGTTATAATAACAATAATAATAATGGTGTTGAAGTGAGTTAAGATAATCCTACTGATAAAGGATAGTTTTAAATGAATCAAGAATAATAATGATAATAATAAAGGGTAGAATAATAAGTAAAACGTATTACCATGGTAGATTCAGAGTCACGGCCATCTCCTTTTGTACACAGAGACCTGGTTAATAAACTCGAATTGCACAAGCCTCTGCAATTGCAAGCGTCTTCTTGTTTTTGTCTGCTCACAATAGTGAGTGACTTGACCGCGTCGATATCATGTCCGTAGTCCAAAAGATGTTTTGTTATTGAGGATTTTGGCACTTTGCACTCAGCTGTTTTCAACCATTTTGGCAAATGCTCCATAATGCGAGTAGACAACCGCCTTTCCATACGACCTATGTATTTGCTTTCAATTTGAGTTTGTTTGTGGAAGGAAAAACATTTTTGATATATTCTCTAGTGACTAATTGTTTATCTAAGTGATATAATTGAGGCGTAATGCAATTTACCTTACTTTTGATCTCTCATACTCTCTCTCCCCTTATCTATTTGAACATGACCTGGTAAACATTCGCACCTGTCTTTCCGCATGACTAATTCAATGTAGTTTGTTTACTTATCAGTTTTATATCTCCCAATGTAATTTTAAAAGTATATATATCCGTGTATGTAGAGTATTCAGCTAACGAGTTCTACCGAAATTTGATGAATTCATTAAATCCTACTTTATTAACCTTTATTGCTTGCTGAATATAACATAGTCATTGTCACATCACATTCACTACCAGACTGTCCTCCACTAGTTGTTTTATGCACGTCACATTTGTGAATTTATTTGTTTGCCATCCTTATAGTATTAATAAAAATACTTCTTATCTCCCGTTCTATTTAAAAATACAACAGTTTAGTTCAATAAATTACATTATTTCAGTAATCGTTGAGATTCTTCGGCTAGTACATATGAGCCAAAAAACTAGAAATATTGTTTCTGAGGTAGAGATATAAAGGATAAATTATTTATTCGTAGGCGTTTTATTCATTCATGTCTCATGTTTTCAAAGCAGCTAAATGAATATACTTCAAGTGTAAGAATTTTTCTAGTCCAATTAGTTTATTGCTTGCCTCTAGTCGTTATTGATCAACTGCAATTGGATTCAAATCGATATATCTGGTCTTTTGAGATTTTATTTCAAATTTATCTTCAGCTTTTTATTTGCAACTGAAAAATTATCAGGGCGAATATAACTTAGATCCAATCGATTTATTTTACTTGGGAAATTGGCTAGTAATGTTTATGTAAACTATGATGGATACAAACAAAATAAATGTATATGTACTGACAATATAAAACTATGAATCTCCCATGTATCTATCAATAAATACCTTGCGGTTTAAAGTGATAGAGCATAGATTGAGGTCCAGCACTGCTATACTATTGATATTTCTCAGACACTTCTGAACGTTGTAGACGACAGTGGTTTAGAAGTCTGGGTCATTTTCGCATCATCGCGGAGTCAGAATAGCTCACGGTCAGTCCTGCTATACTTTGTCCTTTCAGACGGAGTGTGTCGGGTAGCAGTGCGCATTCCCAGACCACATTCGCTCCTGATTTTCGCGCATATAATCTTTACACGGCTTTAGAATATAATGGGTGTAATAATTCCTGAAAAGTAACTTTAATTGCTTGGACATATGATACTCAAACTCACCACATACTGGTGCAAACTGAACAACAAGCAGATCTTGTTAGAACATTGCATTTTAAAGGTTCGCATTGAAGATCTCAGTGAAGTGTTTTGAATATCTTCTCCATCAACAAGACAAAGTGATGTGTACCACGTGTCCTTGTCTGTGGCGTCCGCTCTCGGTTTAGCTGGAGTTGGTGTTGCATAAGTGCTAGATCTGAACTCGACTGGATCCCCATTAACAGTCGTTTACGTTCTGTGACTCTGGAAGGTTATACGAGAGTAAGAAGGTATCGGCCAGAAGAGCGGTGCCCATTTATCCTCTCTGCTTGTGCACCGATGGATTGCAGTCTAGATGCAATTAAGTGTGAGTTTCACTACCGGCTGAGCGTCGAAAAGATATCGTAGCGATAGCTTAGGACTTGACTGCACAGGTCTGGCGTCTGGTCCTAGAAGGGAGTCGTCTAGAGGGACTAAACAGTCACAGGCCAGATAGTGGGGACTGTCTTCAGTTTTGCTCAAATCACAACGTATTCTAGCCAACACCAACTTTCTGCACTGGCATCGTCGTAGTGCTACGTGGTGCTTCCTGCTGCCGCGCAAGCCTGAACTCATATCGATCATATTGTTATCAGTTTCCATTGATGTAGATGCATGCAGGACTACCGCTCTTTCTGGACCACATGACTGGACTCTGATCTCTTTAGTTTTTACCAGGCCCCATTGCGACGTTAGCCTAGCTGTAAAAGGTCGGGTTTACTATTCTTCGGTGTGTGTAGTCTTTCTCTACACCTGTGAAATCTGGCCTCCTAGCTGAAGATGTGCGGTGACTCTGTGTATTCGATCATCACTGCTTCCACGGAATTGCTTGCGTCGGATGGCATTGTCCTGTAATTAATTCTGACGTCTCAGTCTGTGTTTTTGTGCACAATTGAGGTCGCCATTCATTCGATGTAGTAATCTTGAAAAACTGACTTCGGTGGCTTGGACATGTACTACAAATGTCATCCCATAGACTCGTATACCACTCGTTATTCGCTCACCGTGGAGCTAAATGGAACGAAGGATATCTGTCTTAAGTTAACATACGTTGGTAGCATCACGACTGTCTAAGTGGGGTCCGAGAGATAATTCAAATCTATGGCTCGAGACGTTATAAGATATGAGCAATAATCATTATCACGGACGGAGATGCTGTAATTTCCTTGTTTCTTCCCTTTCTGAAAGTAGCATGTAGTAATGAATGATGAATTATCCTGATAAGTATGCCTACTTGCTTTCTGGATGATCTCCTTTATTTATTCGATTCATATTTTCCTTGCATATTGGTTTCTTTTTTACCATTTTTATGTGGCGCATATCTCAGTGCCCATTATGTTCCATGTCTATGTTGTAATAATAATAAAAACAATAATGTACGCGAAAAATTCCGGTTTGAACATAATTATTTCCAATAATGATATACCCACTCAGCCATCCAACGAATCACTCTGGGTTTTTTTATAGTCCAAAAACTAGACAGGAAAGACTTCTTGATAAACAAACATAGTAGTGTTTCTATGTATGCTGTGGTATTTTTCCCGAAATACTAGTTTCGTCGATATTCATTGATATTTCCCTGGAATTTCCTGAAATGTTACTTATCAATCTATGTGTGTTAGTATACTTGGATGTGGACGTTTGCTTTGCTTGACACGGTTAAATACCAGTTTAAATAGTTACAATCACAGTAGATAATATTAATATTAGTTCTCGGTATGCTATTGCATTCTTAGTGTATATAATTCTATTAGTAATTTATTTTCTTCAATGTTTATATTATCAGATTAGTTTTGAATACAGTGACTAGGAATTTTATTATTTTTACTTTATTGCATATTGCTTTTTCGGTTGATAAACAACGATTTTGACTCATTCAGTCTGTGGTATGCAACATGTAATTTGGAAAAAAAGGGATGATGAACTATCAAAACTAAATTGCTTTGATGTGTCCAGATCGAATAGAACTATGCTATCATTTTATATCAGACATTGTTTGTATAAAACATAACTGAGGTATAATGGTGGTTTTAAAGGTAGCTAATTAAATGACTTTCAAACACCTTTAGTCTCAATGGTAAGGTTTAGATTAATTCGCTTCACCTGTTGTTAAAATAATCATCCGTTGCACAAGCAGTGGCTATCGTGGTCCAAGCAGTCTAGTGGATAACGCTTTGGCTCTTGAAACGATGGATACTGGGTTCGAGCCTTACTGGGAGATGCAGTTAAATCCGTTGACGAGTCCCGAATAGGACGAAATGCGCTTCCTGGATTCTAACGCTAGTCATCATCCACCAAATTACTTAAAATCACCTAGTGTTTACAAGGAGTGTGTTCCTAGATGCGTTTTTCGAATTCACAGTTGAGAAGTCATGGTTATTGAAGTTAACCGATTTGAAGTGTGACCATAATTGACGACATTCAGTGGTACTCATGTTGTATCTTAAATTATCAGGTATCTAAAAGCTGTTTAAACCAAGTGAATGTCTGAGCAGTGACGTGCCTTTCTTCTTGGATTTTATCCCGGGTGGTATCATAGCCTCACTTTACTAAAGCATTTGAAAATAAGGCTATGTAGTTGTCTATGGCTCTTTCGTTTTCATTTTTCCTGTAAACAATATCCGATCATGTTATGTATTAATTCTGCACAAATCTAATACCTGAGGTATCATATTACTTGTTGGACGCAGGCAAGCGAATAACCACATTCAAGTGGAGTATTTGTACCTTGCGAATAATTCACATTTACGACTTAGGATGCATAGCTATTGATCAGTGAAGTTTGTTCCGAAGTAGAATCCAGGTGTAGGTAACTTCAAATGGTTGCTGAGAAACATCTCTTTTTACTAAACATTGAAAGGTATCAAAAGTTGTGTGGAACATAAGGGCTGTAAACAATTCTGTCTTCGTCACACAGTGTATCACTGTATTTGGTAGTCAGATCATAAAGTATATACTTCTTGTTTGTTGGCCATCTGAGAGATGTTAAATGCCAATGACTACCGGCATTCAGAAAACTGTATGCTCACACGTCTGAGTATAAAGATTCTATGATACCATACTTGGCACGTATTTTATGTGATGAAAATAGTGTCAGGCAAGAATTAACTAACCTTTTTTCATCCAGTAAATAAACAATTTCCTCCATCCATCCTTATATACCTTCAAGTTTTACTTTTATTATTTCTATTATATTTATGGTCCTGTTGCTTCTTTGTTTTACTCTCATAATTGCAAACACCAACTTATCTCTATGACTTCTGTAATTTTTGTTTTTCCCCTCACCATATCATGTAAAGAGAACATTATATTCAATATTTTTAAACATGCTAGGATTTCTATACTGAATCGACAATATTGCGTGAAACAAGCCCACGGCAATTTTCACTTGCATTATTATTATTACCTTAGCTGTTATCATTATTATTATTTCCATTTTATATGTTGCATGTTTTTGACATTACCCCTGTTGTAAATGTGGAAAATTTTCTGCATGATTAATTTTATTTATAATTTGAGGAAATTAGATGCAATATTGTGATTAATGCTGAAAATTCCATTCTATATCACAAGTACTGCTTTTGGAATAAAGTGAATTATTATTATTATTATTATTACACCTTTTATGTCAATGAATTATCTTGTTTACTTACTATCTATTATTTTCCTCTCAATTTTGTCTTTTGTTGGCGTAAAAAACTACTTGTTCGAAATGCTTATGTCAGTACTTCCCTGTGCCAGCGTCCAATAACAATGATAATAATAAGAATGATTTTTTTTCCAAACAGTACTTTTGATACGAATAATTACGTATGCAGAAACTAGTAGGTAATTTCTGTTTCTATAATCGTAGAAACTGTGTTCGTCCGCCTGTTCTCTGGGACTTATATATATATCGCAATAGCCAGTATTAAAATTAAGCACAATTTACGTGCATCTGTCGCCTATTGATTTTTAGCATTTCCATCTTTGATACATGTATTTGTATGCTTATATATACACATATAGTACGTTTTGTTCGAATTCTACATTTGTTTTCCAACAGAATATGTTCTTTTACTTACATGAAAGCAATGAAAGCTTTTAATGCACTTCATGAATCTTTAAAAAATTTGTTTTCTTTTTACTTGTAATCTTTGCTTATATATATATATATATATGTCTGTGTGTAATGGGTGTCTTGGTCCTGACCGTGTGTACATAAATTAAAGTGAATCAATTAGACTGATTTCGTTATACTAAATGTGTCGTCCATTCCTAGACATGAAGAGAAACTTAATTCCTATAGCTGGTATGTTTCACTCAATACGGCATAGATACTTGCTGTCTAAAGTTCGTTGTATAGGTTTCAAAAAAAGCTTCAAAATGGTTACCCATGCTAAAAGCATAAACATGTTTTACTGTATTCTGATAGTTATATGATCGGCATCATTTCATCAGTTTGTTGGCGAGATGATAAAAGCAGATCCAACTCTGCATTTGTCAGTAGATTTAATATCAACACTTTACCCTATTTTCACCGTCTTTTATCTATTTAGATTGATTAGGTCACTACTTAATACGTAATTCCAACTTCTGTGTTCTTAGTCTCGATGTAGTCACTCCTTTCTAGACCAAACCTCACATTACGTAATACATATTCTAGGACGTATCTACCGGTATTCGATTGGTTTTGTTGAAAAATAAATATGACTGGACCGCTCTTGGAAATGATTCATCGAGAGGGAAATTTTCTTCACTACTACATATTCCTTTGTTTGTGATTTTAATATGACTTTATCCGTTTATGAAATGAGTATCGCCTGTAACTGTATTTGTTTCAGTCGGCGCCGATATTTCTGTGGCTGATTAGACAAATGTTTCATAAATGTATGCATCGTTTTCTTTGTGTATTTTATTTATCATTATGTATATTTCCGTGTAACTTAATTATTGTTTTGCTCATTTTATATTCTTGAAATAAGTGTTTGAAATGGTTTGTACTTATCCTATCCCCCAGGCCATTAAAACATTACTCTAATCTTAACTACAAATTATAATTATTCTTTGCCTTATGTAACTTTCTCAATAGGTGGCATCCATATATCGGCGCAATTTAGATATATATTCAAAACATCATAAACCGTCATCACCGATAATGCGCAAAGCTAAAAGAGACTTGGTACGTTAGCCTTTGTAGTAACTTGTAGCAGTATACTATGTGCATATATTTTAAGTATATTGACCATCTCCTCTGTAGGTCAGCTTTTAATTTTTTTTCGAAAAGTATCGTGTTGTTTTTTGACTAATAGAGCTATTTTATGCCTTTATATTAGGCATTTCTGTCGAAAGGTTCGGTGTGCAATTATTTTCTTGTAAATTAGTTTATATATCTTTCACCATGAGGTTGTTGTTCATGTGCAAAGAAGCGGTAATGATAATTGAGAGTGTGATTTTTTCCTCAGTGGAATCATGAATTTGCATTTCACTGATATTTCTTCCCCACTTGTTGGAGTCAACATAGTTGGATTATTTAATTTAACCAATGGAAATAAATCCAGTTAATAATGTACAAATTAATTTACAGCTTACACTACTTTGAGGTGGAATTTCATCACAGTTTCTTCGGGGAACCGAAATTATTCAGCTCACAGTACATGATCTGCTTGATACCATAAATGGAAATTAAGAAAGCAAGTATGTGTGCATTACACAATATACTACTGATTGCTTGAGGTGAGTAGTTGAGTAGTTCAGACTGATTCGATTCTCTCAGCTGAGTTCAACTTGGGTACACCGCTGATGAGCTTGGCCCCGAACGAACGAAACCGCCGTCTGGTGTTTGAATCCCTTTGATCCGACTACCAAACACTGCTGGTTGACGTGAGTCGTATACAACAACTCACGTCAAACAACCAGTTTTTTCAGTACCTTTTTGTAACTCGATATTTGATCAGCCTTGAATACCATGATCCAATGATGACTATTTGTATGCATAAAAACTATGGTCAGTTAAGATATAATTGGATTTGTTTTTCTCTGAACTTTGATATGTGTTCGTGGATATTTCACCAACAGTTTAGCTAATGTCTTCAGCTTACAACTTCATCAACTTTGAGAAGGCCTACGATAGCATCGAAGTAATCTGGTATTTCTCCGACACTACAGAATATTTTTTCCCAAACTTTTATCAACCTCATTCAACAACAGTATAATCATGCTATATGCAAAGCGATTCGCGACGGAGTGAAGCCAGGACTGCCTGCTGTTTCCGACTGTATAATTGGTTGTGGTGGACGGGATCATGCAACAGATAGTGAGAAGCGAGAAGGCGGATATACGGTGGACCGAAAACAGACATTAGGAGGTCTGGATTATGTCTCATTTACCCAGAAATTCGAATATTCACAAGCGGAAACCAGCGTCTTAGTATAAGAGAAAACCACAACGAGACTCAATATGAGCATATGGTAGACAGAGTGGTAAAGATATCCAACCTACAACAAGAAGCATCAATCACCACCAACTGGAGAAATCTGAAGGAAAAGTTTCTTCCACCTACTGGGGCACGGATGAGAATGTCAAAGTCAGTCAAGATCGGGAAAGCAAGACAGTCGTTCATTACTCTGGATGTGCTGTTGAAATCCGAAGTACTCAATACCAGTTGCAAGATCCGAGTTGTTGACAATGATGTCATTTCAGTGCTTCTAAATGCTTCGTAGACTAAGTGCGTCAGCTAAAGCTTTTTCAACAGGTTGCAGACTTTAATCAGTACCTGTCCTTGCTTGATGCTGAATATCAGATAGCAGGTTGTTTATGATGAGTATCACAGAACTGTAGTGGTGAGCTAGCCGATTACCCACTATACACTAAATATGTAGAGGGAAACTGAGGTAGATTAGACATACGCTTAGGGGACATGACACACTATATAAGCCATCAAGTTGAACCTGAATGGGAATTCAAATTTTGAGAGTCATAGATGAGATCATGTGAAAAAGAAATGAGACATTGTAAACAGTCGTGCGACCAGTTAGAAAGACAGTAGACAACAGAATAGAATGGAGATATGCTGTCAAAACCCTTTATCGCTCTTGTAATGCAAGGAATGAAGAATAATAGTAGTTTTAATGACGAAACATTAGTCTATACAAGAAGGGAACCTCAGAAAAAAGGAAAATGTAACCGAGTAAGGACAATCAATATATATATTTAGATAGTTGTAAAAGAGCAGTAGAAATTTTTTTCGTACTGACTCATTAAGCCTACTACTCAGAGTAGCGAGTGCCACCTTTCGCATCCGGTGACCCCGCAGTTACAGCATTTCCATGTTTTTTTCTCAAGTGAAATCAATTGTAATAATAATTGTAATTTCTAAGTTCCTTTGCTGTTTACTTACCCCAGGATTTTTACTCTCTCTCTCTCTCTTTGCGTATATAGGCTTCTGTTCTATTGAAACTTGATAATGTAAAAGAAGCTGAATCTCTCCTGAAAGCAGTCTTAACACCAGATCAATATAATTCTTCCCTGCAACCAAAAAACCAAGAGAACAGTTTATCACAATCAGAGAGTGTCGACCAAGATTCTGCAATTTATTCTTTATCCCCACTTAGCAACAGTGATCGTGGAGTGTACATAGAAGGTGTTTCACCGTGTAATTCAACAGAACCATCTATCCTAATGAATTCACCCGAACGACGAGTTGAACCTTTATGGGTTATCGTGGAACAATATGTTAAAGACAGTGATATCAGTCAGAAGTTTTCACTTGTTAAATGGGCATCAGAAGCAAAAATAGAATTGTAAGTTATAATACCTTTCCTGTGGATATTTTCAATAGACAACCATTTTATCTTTGTTTGTGTAGATCGATACGTATATTCGATAGAAAAGAATGTAGAATTTGTGTTTAGTGCAACCCATCAGTAATCTTGTATCACTCATCTATTTAGAGGAATTGTATTTGTTTACTAACACTTGCTACTGTGTGTTTGTGCTTTGTGACCTATTGGTAAACACAAGATTGTTCATCCATAACCATTTGTTTGTGCCTGTCATTAGTTGTCTGCCCATTTATTTGCGCTAATACTTTGCCTGCAAAAGAAGTCTGGGAAAGTCGTATTGACTATTAAGGATAAATATATTTTTACTTCAATATTGTTTTTACATTTGTAGACCGAAGAATGTGTGATTCATAATTTTGTTACTACGGTTAAAGGTCATGGTCAACGAATGGGATTAGTCATCCACAAGTGAAGATATATATATATATATATATATATGGTTTATTATTATCCCATTGAGTTCTGAATGGAATATAGGACTTCAACACCGCATTTCCACTTCATTTTGTTTTCTGAATTCATCTTCAACCTCTTGTCCCCACGGTCTCCTCCATGTCACTCTCGGGTTCCCTATTCGGCTTCCACTCGAGGAAACGGAGTGTAATGTCACTCAGCGATCTCAGTGTGTGTCTATTCCGTCTCCATTTCCTTTGGTATATTTTTTGGGTAACAGGATCTCGGTTGGTTAGTTCCCACACTTTCCTGTTGTTTATCTTTTCTGGTCATATGATGTTCAGTATGCAGGGAAGGTATCTGTTGATGGAAGTCTTTAGTCTATTGGGAATGCTTTTCGTGACCCTCCAAGTCCTTCAGCCGTATAGAAGTACTGACTGATTCGACACAAGAGTTGAAAATCCGAGACGAAATCCATCTGATTATGGTGCATCCTCTGGGTGAAACCCATATCGCCTTGTGTATATCTTTGTGGTTGGGCACGCTGCCTCTAGTCACCAAATCATTGAAAGCGCAAAAGTCTTCGAAGAGTTCTCCATTCTCATTGATTTCTCCGAGAGCCTCTTGACCTATTATGAGTTGTCTTCCTGTGTTGTTTGCTTCCAGTTTTCCATTCATTCATGGGATTTTGATGTCGCTATTTGGTGTCTTGTCCATTACTGTTTGTATATGTCTGTAGAATCCCCAAGCCCAATCTTCCCTCTTTTTTCTGGGATTAGGATCGATTGGTGAACTAGGCGAGGTTATTATATACATGTATATAATTTTTAAAACTAGGTCAGTTAATATATGTAGGAGGAAAGAAAAAGTTGTAAAAACAAGAAGGCATAGAACCATAAATTTCGTGGGTCGAATATTTGAACGAAGTGGCATTCCCAATGCTTAGAACGTAATAATAGAGAATGTTTCTTCCGTACTTAATGGTTAGTGACATCAATTTATGATTGGCATATTTTTAGTGATCGTTCAAAGACGTCATGGATTATATATATCTTATAAAATCATGTCTCAGCATTTTAATAATTAAGATTATTTAAACTTGATTCCTCCACGATTATGCAGTTTAGCTACTACAAAATCCTATCAGGATGTGTCTGAGTAGTGTGTTTCTGACAAAATATGTTGGATGTTCGTTTTTGTTTTACATTTCACATTGTGTTCATTTCATTATAGTGGAATGGTCTTCACTAGTGAAATAAAACTGATCGTTTCCTTTCATTATTTGCAATTTTAGATCCGTTGTCTATAGTGCAGTTCGAAATTTGGCCAATGTTTATCAGAGGCAAGGATTCTATTCTTGTGCATGTTTATTGCGAGAATGGCTTCAAATGGAATTACCTGAGCTTACTGAATCTGCATCACGTTCACATCATACATCTATGGTGTGACAGAAGTTTTTAAAAGTGTTTCAAGCCTTCATTATAATAATAAATTGTACACATATGAGGTATGGAATTTTTAGTTATTGCTTCTTGTATATACAGTGACTTTCTTTTTCCCTTACTTTTCTATTCATTGATGATAGTCATTCAGTGTCTTTAAGTATTATTCACTTTGTGCCTATCGATTTTGTACAATCTCTAATATGGAAGGAACAATTGAATATGTAGACAAGTAGCCTTGATTCCTTAGGTGTATCACGTTATCTTCAAGTAAATATGAGATTCACCTCTACCTTCATATAATGCTACTGTTTTGATTTGTTTTTCTTAAATCCCTCATGTAGATTTCATTGTTCCACTATTAGTCATGTAGATGGTGGATATTTACTAATTATTTTTTTCAGAATGGCTAAAATAAAATCACCACGAATCTCGGCTGTTTCATTGGCTAACTTGACTGTGTTTCCTTCTAAATGCTTAGATTTGTCTATGTAGGCTGTTCATCAAAGTTTTTCTAAGGTTGATCTTGTTGTCTTTACCAGTAATTACAGAAAGATAAACAATGTGAAACAGCACTATATATATATATATATATATATATATATATATATATATATATATAATGCTGGAGTTTTTCCTTCCACTTCCATAAATGTCTGCTGCATTTATAGAGTGTGTGTTTGTGTGTGTGTTATATTCTACTTCAATCTCTTTTCTCTATATTACATATAAGAGTGTGAGATTTAATCATAAACACACATGCACATGTAAGTAACATTTTAGAAAATTCACTCAGCTTTTAAGTTAAATCACGACCTGATTGAAGTCAGTTAGAGAATCACTGAAGACTAGAAAGTACCAGACAGGTGTTTCACACTAGTATGGGACTCTTCAGTGGTACTCATCAATGACACTTTATCGGATGTGGAACCCCGTGTGGTTTGTTTGCTGTACGTAATTTATTCGTAATGTTCACAATAAATTCTATTCATTAGAGGCTAATTTCGTTTTATTTATGAGGAGGGGTAAGGATTTGAAGATTAGTGAAAGTGTTTCATATCACTGGGTGATGTATGACTACTGACCTAGAACATTGCTGCAGTTATTTCTGTTTTCAATTTAACTAAATCTGAATACATCTCATGTTTTGTATGTTTTTCCCTCAATATGGGATGACTTCGTACACGTGGTCATCGTTTTGGGTATGATGTTTATGCGTTATGTTTCTAATAGGTATCAAGCGCCAGTCTCTAGCCTGTTTGATTTAAAACCACGACATTTATAAAGTACACAATCTCAGACCAGATGAATCAGTAACCGAAACATTTCGAAAATTTACATTATTTGCTGTAGGTTGTGTTAACCCCGTATTTCGTGATACACTCGCAAAACGTTCCTTGTGAACTGTAATCCGTCATCACCGTTAAATTAATGAAGTGATACCTATAGGTCAAGATTAATATAAACAGATTGGGGGAGGAATCGAAAAACTGTCCACCCATCTCTGTGGTTAACATTTTTGTTGAGTTATGATGTTCGACAAGTATTTTAAATTGATCCTTATATATAGTCTTACCTAATTTGTTTTAGATGGTTCCCGAGTAACACTGAGAAACAATAAACCCCAATGAAGCTACCAATTTTCTTCACAACGATCTGGAAGACACATTGTTAGCTGCATATAACGGTTTATTCACTTAACAAAAATTTAGAACCAAGCATGTTAACCTTCCTTTCTGACTGTTATCATATAATGCATAGTCAGTTTGTTATCAGTCATTTTCTGAAAGGTTTCACTTGTTAGAAAACTTTCAACTTTCTTGCATTTATTCGAGGTTTGAAATCTTTCGCGCGTTCATTGTATTTGCTGTTCATTCATTCATTCATTTATTTGTTTTATTTTATTTTTCACAAACAGAATATAGTCTCAGATACATCCTTTCTAATATATTCTCTTTTTGGCAAATAAGATGATTCGAAAAAAATTCATTGGAATATATTTGCATTTATAATTTCGCTTTATTTGTGTAACTATATTATTCTTTGCAATTTTTAAAATTGACCACTATTTCAAATGCTTTCCATTTTCTGAAAGTGAAGGACAAATATCCATGTGGTATAAATCTGAAAAGGCATATGTCAGCAAAAAAAAAAAACTCTTTTCGCAACTTCACTTCAAAGTTGTACAGTTTCAGGGTGTTCTTAAGGGTCATGTAAATGCCAGTAAAGGACAGTTATTATTATCAGTTGGCAGAAAATAAAACATGAAAAAATAACTTTCAAGAGTTTTGTTTGTAGAGATTTGATTTGTTTCAAGTTCGCTCGCGGATTGATGTCAGTTAGACAACCACTGGAAAACCAGGGTGTACTGAACAGCATGAATTGGTAGAAGTTACAGTTCATGGGCCATTGAGTTGGGTCCCAGTGGCTGAATGGTCTACGAGGCTGACAAAACAGTTGTGCAGTACTTCCTGGTTTTCAGCGTTTGTCTAACTGATATCAATCCGTGATCAAACATGAAAGTAACTGTTAGGAAAATAAATAATTACGCAATATGTTATGTTCTCGCCACTTTTATACTTCGCAGTAACATTAAGATTGAAATAAGGACACCGAGTTGGACACAAACGCACCAATCACAAAGACAGCTTGACTACGCCACCAACATTATACAACAGTCCGCTCTATTTAAGCGACGTGTGCCGAAAAGTAAATTCCCAAAATGACCTAGATCAACATATCACCAATGAAGGATAATGCATTGTTTATCTGTCCACACTATATAAACCACTAGGACTACAAGCGCTTGATAAACGACCATTGTTCATTAGAGTAAGCGATTCACAATATTTATTAGGTATAATAAGGTAAGTAATGTTGACGTTAGGCGTAGAGTGTTGGGCAAAGAGGGAAAATCAATTGAAGAGGCTATGAAGTTACATAGATTGAGATGGTTAGGTCACGTGCTGCGCATGCCTAACCATCGCCTCCCCCGACGGACGGGCATTACTAGCTGATATAGGTGCAGGTTGGAAAAGAGTAAGTGGTGGCCAAACAAAAACATGGCATCAATCCATGAAATCCCTGACAGTTAAACTGAGTCAGGTAGGGAGATACAGACTTCCAGGTTGGGGCCCTCGGGACTCTAAGAATCAATGGCTGGAGACATTAGGTCACATGGCTCAAAATTGTTGTCAATGGCGCAGATGTATTCAGTCTCTGTAATCTTTCATATTCCTATCTACCATTACTCATTCTGTTTCACTCTTATACTTATCTAAATTCTATTGATTCTCTTCTCTCATTTTCTGTCTACCTTTGTGTGCTATTTGGAACGTGGCAACTCGAACTGCTGCACTTTGGTGCCAAGTTCTATGTTGAACCCAGCCAGCATTAGGTATATTTTAAATTAGCAGTTCGAATGGAAAGGATAAGAGAAGAAAAACAAATGATTATGGATTGTATAACAAATCGTTGTACAAGATAACAAGAAGAAATTAAAGACCACTCTAATAATAAGAGTTGGATACATGGCTGTTGTATTTTTTGATTTTTCCTTATTGTAATGTAGAGAAAAACCTATGCTTAAAAACATGTTAACACTTTTAAGATTGTATTCAAGTGATATCGATATTCGCAAGTCGATATTATACACATGATCTCTGCATACGGCTCATTTGAATTTTTTCTTATTTACTTATCACGACAAAACAACTCATGTCTTCATTTCAGCTGGACTACCTTAAATTTATGCGTGTGTATATCTTGTGAGATATTTATACTACCACTGCCTGTCACATTGCAAACGATATTCCTCTGCGAGCTGAGGAATCACTGAGTAGAGTGATCCTCTTGATTAATGTGATATGATTTTAGGCATTCACTTCACACCCAGGCATTACCAAATCACTTCTCAATTTATACAGTCAAGTGCTAACAAGTACTGGAATCCGATAAGTATGCATACGTTCTAGGATCTAAAAGTGAACACAGCATGATGAACACATCCTCTTTCTGGACTGAAGTGCTCATGATTTCCGCGAGTTATGTTTCTCCCGAGCACCTTTTAGTTTCTATACCTTTATTGAAGCAAGAATTTTATACACCACGTCAGTTAAGTCAATTCCCTTATGATTATCACGTGAAGAATCTTTTCCTTTCTTATAAACGTGGATGGTCGATAATTTACACCAATCCAACAGGACTATCTCTGATTCCCATACATTACCTGAAATTTGAGTTGGCCTGCTCAGTAGTTCATTATCACTATTCTTAAACAGTTGTGGAATCACACCATTGTGGTGTGTGCTACTGACAAGATTTACCAGTAGTATATATATGCAGATACATAGGAAACAGCCGAAATTGAAAACAACATTCTAAGCTCATGGTAACAGAGCGTTCAGAGGATAAATAGATCTAGAAGGTATTGGCGGCAAGGTTCGACAGACAGACAGCAAGCAACGCAGCAGTTCCGTACCATGAATTTGGTGCCGGACGGAGACCCGCTAGTCTGAAGAGTCCAATTAGTGACGCGCTTCCCTCATTTGATGAAGAGTCTGCGACTCAGGTGCTGGCGTCCCGGTTTATCGAAACTGTCCTGGAACACAGTGATGAGCGACTACAACCGGTCGACTCTGCTTCCTATCAATCTGCATCTATATAAACTACTGGTAAATCTTGTCGACAGCACTGTTAATCGCGATAGGTAGATAGACAATATGATAGACAGTTAATCAATATGATGTGACCTTCCTGTCGCGATTATTGGTCAATTTATTGTAACTCTCACCACGTGATGTTGACCTTGAATGTTCTTTTTTGTCTGTCACTCTATTTGTGTATACATGTAATTAATTGACTGTTCATTTTGTCCGTACCCTCAATACTGTTCGGTACGTTTTTGTCCTGTTTTTGTAATGACAGTGGATTTGTACATTTTTCTTGGTGTAATTGTATGATTTATTTTATGTTTTAGAAACAGATAAAGTTAAAGTCAAGTCATTCTGTTTTAACGATAGTTAAGCCCAGACTCTGTGTCGTCAGTATTGAGGAAGGACTAAATCTGTAGGACAAAAATAATCCTACAAGCACACGCCACATCATCACCTGATGTTTTGTGGACGAATCTCCTAGCACTATTAGTTTCACTTTTGTGTACTATGTAACCTTATTCAGGTTTTCTGAATATCCATACCTGTTTTTCTATGCGTTTTCCCGATAACTCGACTCATATCCATAGTTTGAAATGCTTGTGTTTTGGGTGTTGCAACATGTCGTTTGATTGCTTTAGATTCTGGATGTGGATCGACCCAATATAACGTTGTTAGTCTTTTTAAGACACCAAAAGAAGTATCTTTCCGGCTGTCGTTTCTGCTAATGGTATCACAGATATTAATATATGTGTAAAACTTGGGCACTGTGGTAGTAAGTAATTCCATATTAGTTTGTTTATTAGGTATATCACAGATAAAAGACATACGTGCGGAATAGTACTAACCGTGACAGGAAAACAAGAAAATCAAAGTGGATGGTGATTCAGAAAACTTTTGTGATTACGTAAGAGGGTAAACAGTTACTACTTCCTATCTGCTCACATTGTGGAAGTTTATTTCTTCTTGAAATATCTGAAACAAGGAGTATTACTGACGCGTAACCATAGAACTCAGATGACAACCTAATATAAGAGTGGTATTTGGGTATTGTTCTAGAGTAAAATTTCATATCCATAAAGGAGAGAGGCCTAACGAAACCCTTTAATTCTGTTGCACGCCTATTCGCCAGCAGTACGACTTCATCCTCATAACCCGAACATAGTGTAAATGACTTGCACTATGATAATGGCTTCTTTTAGTCTAACCGTTATGCAAACTACCTTACTGTCATAGCAGTACTTGCAAGAAGATGAATCCCATCCAGTGTGGCTCGTTGGACAAGCCCGGATGCAGCGCCAAGCTTACAGATATCGGTCGGTAGTTATAAAAAGCAACAATAAAGAAGAATGGATAGAATCGGTGAATGAATAAACTGTAAAAGGAGAGGCTGACCTATGTACGAGAGTCCTAACTTCCTTATGTAATAAGTCAAACAAACAGTTTTTCTGAAACCAACAGGATGCAAGCCGACTACTAAAGACTAGAAGAACAACTTATACCGAGACAAGTAATATTCTCGTTAATTGCTTCAACAGTGCCACGGATATTACAAGATTTGTGGGACTAAGGCCCAACTCATGTGTTGTCCTGAAATCATAATTAGCGGTCTGAGATTCACGGTGAATCAGTTTGAAACCATTTGAATAAGATCCGAAATTGTTCGCGTGAGAGCGATCCAATACAGAAAATGATCCAGAGCTTTTGTGTTCTAAAGTCAGCTTGCTTATAAAATCAAACCTAGGAACAGAAACAAAAGTAGGAGTGTAGTCTAAGAGAGCAGAGAGAACATATTTCTCACTTTCATCTAGACTTCAGTTTGCAGTGTAAAAATAGGTCTTTCAAATGAACCTTCAGATATTTCATGAGGTTGATAAAGGTTCGGGGAACTGAATTCTGTGTTGTTGAAGCAGTTTCCAAATGAATTCATTCCATATTAGTTTGTTTATTAGATGTATCACACAGCGTAACAGTATTCTTTAATATTATTATATATTATTGTTATTTATCCAGCAAATAATACTGTTTCGCTGTGTGATACATGCAATAAACAAACTAATATGGAATTACCTACTACCACAGTGCCCAAGTTGTACACATATATCAAATGACCTCATGATTAAAACTGTCGCAGGCTTATCCAAAGTCGACCGAATTTCGTTAGTGGGTGGACTACCATTCTGTGCTCTGCTCAGTGATGATGATAAGGATGTTTAGTGTTGCGATTTGGTCAGCACATGATTTGTTTTCCTGAATCCAGCCGGTTCCATTCGGAGTTTTGCATCGGTAGCATCTTTCAGTCTCTCCAGGATCACGTCACTCCATATTCTGCTGTCCGGGGAGAGGAGCATGATTCGGTAACAGGTTTTGCAGAGGCTTACTGGAAACAGTAACAACAATAGTAATATGGCGTAGTGACTGAAATAACCGGGTTTCCAAATAGAACTTTGCACAGAAATGCAAGAGGTGAAGTTGTCTCACTCTATTTAGCACACAAAAGTAGATGAAGGAGAGGAGAAATTATATTCGCAAATAGTAATAAGCAGAAATGTGGTGTGGAAAGGTAGGAACATGGAAGAAGAGAACGGCCCAGTGGATATGTGGGATCACAGAGAGTGAATG